TATCGTTGCTGTGATTACGCTCATTATGTGTGGTATTACCACTAGGGTTAAGGCCGACCATAAAATGACCGGAATAATATGAAACTGTTTGCTGCCCTCCAAGTAAGCTACCCACATCGAGCCTACAAACACTGCACACGTGGTAAATGTTGTGATATAATATAGCGGGCTTAGCACGTATTGGGCCATAAAGTTAACTTTTATGCCATATTTACTAATATTTCTCGGCAATAATCTCATACCATTTGTTTTAAGCAAAATATCATTGAGAAGTTGAATGACTGCTAAAGTGTGATTGTGTTCATGGTAATCATAGGTTACATCACCTAGGAACCCAATTAGTGTGACTAGGACTACCAAAGTGGACATTAGCCGAGGGCTGGCCAGTAAATAGTTGGCATCGGCTGTTAGGCGTATAACGTGTATGTTATGGCCAAATACGGCCGATATTGTGAATCTGAGTATTTGTATTAATGATAATAGTCGTAATAGACGTTTAATGATGATCCGTTTGGCCGGTGGTGTCTGTCCGGTACAGTAGTGGTCAAAACTCTTTGCCTCAAACATGTAGTGTTTGGCGCAAAACCGGTCGATACGGGTCAGCCCAACGGCACAGTTGTTGTTGTCGTCGATAAATGTGTTGAATTTGACGATAGCTATTGCTTTCAGTTTAAAAGTCATCGTGATACTTTTTTTTTACTGGATAAGTACAACTTTAATTAAAATTATTATTTGTAGTTTAAAAATTTAAATTTTACAATTTTTCATTCACTGTATTATATTCTTAGTTATTATGTTTACACAATTTCTGTGTATTTAAAATATTATCTGAGATTTATTATTAGGCTAAATAAGTTATTAATACCTAGATTTTTAATGTATCTAATATTGATTTTTAATCATTAATATGATAATTATTGTTATAATTGTAATAAACTAATTACATTGAATAATAATAGTACAATATTAATAGCAAAAAAGTTATAATGATAGTTTTAATAAGAGAATAGCTAAAAGTTGTGGTTTATTATCAAAGATCGTGACATATACAAATAAATGTATATCAAGATTTATTTAAAATAATAAACAAATATTATTATTGATTAGATTATTGACTATGTTAGGCCAATGTCATTTATTACATTTTATGTACAGAAAAATTCACCAACAAGTTTAATGGTGTCTAATTAGTCTAATTGCAAGTCTAATGGCATTGTACTATTCTAAAGATCTAACTATTGTACTATTCTGTTCTATTCTATTCTTTATATACGGTTAATTATTTTTATAATAATTTGTATAAATACAGTATAAATAAGAATAATTGGTTTATTAAGCGTTTATTATTAAACATGCTAAAATTTTACTATTTTCCTAGTTGTTTTAAAAACATTAAATCAAAGTTTATAAAAATTACTAACTGTGTTTATAATTATAATGCTTTCATAAATAATATTCTAGTTTGTAATTTTTACATAATATGTATATATTATATACAATTCAATTTATTTTAAGGTAGAATAACTGATCAAGTGATGTAGTTTTGGATCAATAGTTAATTAAATACAGTATAACTATAATAACAATAAATATTTATTTAAGAAAATTATCTAATTATTAGTTACTTTTATTAATATTATTTTTAGAATATAAAGTAATGTAATATAAAAAATATAAATATGATTAGTATTTGTTGTATTTAAATAAAAGTAGAATATATGCAATTATTTATTATAAATGTATTAAGTTTAATAAATTCATATATTAAGTGCGTGTATAAACGTGGTTTAATAGGAGAAATGACATTTATATTTTCTATATTAACTTAATTAAACTTTGTAATTTATTTATATATTTATTAATACATAATGAAAATGCATTATGGGCCAAAACACGAGATAAAATTCATGCAATAATATAATTAAATTCCATAACTTGGTTGAAACACATCTACACATTTCTTTATATGTATTCAAAAAATAAAAATATACTTTCAATTAAATTCAATTTACATTAGTGATAATTCTGTACGAGAGTTCATAACGTCAATTAAAAATACATTTCCTATTGTCTGCATAAAAAAATTTATTTACAATTAAATAATTTAATAATAACACAAAATATTGACTAACACAATAATATCTAACGTTTAACTTAAAGTTAGATGTGTAGATGTTAAGTGTAAATCACAAAAAACTATTTAACCAATGTATAACAATGTCAACAGTTACCATATCTCGGCCGAGAATGGACAACAAGCTTAAGACATATATCACACGCAAATTCCACAGCACCGGGAGTACAGGCCTGCAAGAGTTGGATCGGTTCTGCGCCAAAACTTATATTTTCATTACTTGCAACTCTCATGACTATACCAACGGCTATATCAGTCGCCGACAATTGAGCATGGTAATTATTATGCGGCTCAGTGCCCTGGTATTTACCGCACGGTATGCCTGGGCGGCCATACATGACAGTCCCACCACTCGTACATTACTGGCCAACACTAACCACTTGTTGGGCGGCAATTCACGAGTAATATCAGCCCTGTTTAGTCTGATTGGGGCACTCGTGTCGGCCATAGCGCTCATCACCAACTATATGGAGTGGACGGGTAGTCACCATACCATCAAATTTATGAACGATATACAGTGCAACAAAGTACAGGTGCCCCTTAACGAGCATAATCAATTGAGATTTACGAAACGAGCCCACGCATTGACCAAGTATTTTGTTAATAAATTATTTTTACCCATGTTCATTGCGTTTAGCATCACGCTACTTTTGCCAAATATAAACGCCCGTATCAATCATAGTTCTGACACTCCAATCACCTTGTGCATATTCTGGTCACTAATCACCGTGATGTTTTCGTGGCAATTATTTAGCCTGGTGTTTGCCGGCTCAGTGTACTGCTTATTGTCCATGGCTTATGTTAAATACCAATTGCAAGAGATTAACGCGGGAATTGTGGCCGGGGTAAAAGCGGGGCACACTGGCCTTGTTTTGGCCAGTATTGAACATCATTACAGCGTGGTAAAAAATATCCACTTGCTAAATAATTCATATAGAGGTGTATTACTTGTACTGTATATGGTGTGCACACCGGCCGTGGATCTGATGATATACCTGTCCATCGGTGGCCACACCAGCAATCCGTGGGCGCGGCTATTGTTTGCCTTTCTAGCCCTGCAATTTATGGGGTGTTTGTTTAGTTTGACCCTAATGTGCGCAGAGGTGACCAACGCTGTACACTATTCCCGGCCACACATGTATACGCTTTTGCTGAGCACTACCTGTGCCTGCGCTGTGTCCGTACAGTCGCGGCTTAAAGTACTCGCTTTTATTGAACTACTTTCCGGTCCCGATATTGGGTACTATTGTTGGGATTTATTCCCGATTAATACCTACGAGTTTTATAACTATTGCTGTAAATTTGTCTACATTTATATTTTGATTGTTAATGTGTTTCAGTTAGATCATTAAATATACATTTATATTATAAATTTTATAATCATCATTGACTAGGATAATAATAACATAATACATATAGTAGTTTTTTAGTTTTTAAAGTTATTAGTCTCCTGCATATTAGTAATTAAATACATGTAGCATTGAATATGATATAATAAAAATGTTTAATAGCTTATTAATAAATGGACAACATTTTAATGTAGATAATTATGTGGATATAACATCTGGCACAACGTGGTGGGAGACAAATTGTTTTAGAGAATTAGATGAAAAGCTTAATCATAATTTAAGACTATGGTATTAGTGTACCTAAGACATGGTGCATCAAGGTTGTTTTACAGTGGGCATGTGCTATCAATAGAATTTTAGAAGTGTAGTAGTACTATAACAAGTATCCTAATACATCCTAAGTTTCCTAATGTATACTGTATAATGTATACTGATGTATCCTATGTATCTTTACATTGTAATATCCATACCTGTATTTAATTTAATAATTGTATTACATTTATGTTTATTGTAATTATTTTATTCATTATGCTAAATAGTAATAAAAAAAATCTGTATAATTAAGTAGTACATATTTGTATAATTGTAAACTTCTAAATATTTAGTTAATAAAATAAATTACCGCTATTTTAAATGAGTTGTTTGTAAAACATGTTACATTTCTAGTGCACCAGATACCTGTTATCATGTTCATTTTTTGAAACAATAATATCCCATGTACTAGATTTTCCCATTAAACATATCGATTAAATAAATATTGATTAAAATGATAACATATTTGTTAAATACGGTTTAAAATACACAATACATTTGCATTACAATAGTAACCGTCTTAACGAGTGTTTGCAATGCTTTTACCAATATTTCTAACCCTATTGTCGGCGCATAGCCTGCGGGCTCTGGACGACGGTCTGGCGCTGACACCACCGATGGGTTGGCTGTCGTGGGAGAGGTTTGCCTGTCAAGTGGATTGTGTGAAATACCCGCATAGTTGTATCAATGAACAGCTGTATAAGGATATGGCCGACAGGTTTGTGGCCGACGGGTACCAGAAGTTGGGCTACGAATACATCAATATTGACGACTGTTGGAGCGAAAAGGAAAGGGATGCCAACCATCGACTCGTGGCCGACCGGAAACGCTTCCCGAGTGGTATCAAAGCTCTGGCCGATTATATGCACTCAAAGGGACTCAAACTCGGCATTTATGGCGACGTCGGGAACCTTACGTGCGGACAGTAAGGCTTAACATAAGTGTGTTATAACTTTACATATACTTACCATATGTTATGTATTGTTAGATACCCTGGTCAAAATAACCACACCAAAGGTGGTAAAGACTTTTACGACCTAGATGCTCAGACAATTGCCGAATGGGGCGTTGACTCATTCAAGTCGGACGGCTGTTGGGAAGAGCCCCTGGACTTTGATGTGTTGTACCCGAAAATGGGCAAAGCTTTGAATGCAACAGGTTTGTTTTTTTTAGTAAATTGTATGATCATAATGTAATAAATATCACTACAATAACGTAATGGTCAATCCATAGGCCATAAGATGCTGTTCATATGCGAGTGGCCTTTCTATCAATACGTCTATAGGTCTAAGAATCCGGACTATGAGGCCATCGCTAAGACATGCCATGTGTTCAGGAATTACAACGATGTGACCGATTCCTGGGCCAGCATTGACTCAATTATCAAATATTACGGCGATTACAACGAATTATTCAAAAAATATAACGGTAAAAATAATTACTTAATTATCTAACAACCTTATAAATTCATAAAAATATGAACTTCATTATTTAAATTACATGTAAAAATCTAATTAAAGTTTGTATAATTGAATATTGTTAAATAATGTTGTTTTATACTTATCATAGGACCCGGACATTGGTCAGACCCCGGTAGGTTTAATAATTACTTGAGTGTTAATAATTGTGTATAAATTGTATAAATTTAATTATACTAGATGAGCTAACAATCGGCAATTGGGGCCTATCATGGGAACAGAGTCGGACCCAAATGGCCATGTGGTGCATGTGGTCGTCCCCTCTATACATGTCCACTGATTTGCGTAAACTTAAGCCCGAATTCAAAGCCATTTTGCAAAATAAGGCACTCATCGAAGTGGATCAGGACAAACATGGTATTATGGCTACCCGTGTGTTCAAAGTAAGTTAACTCATCATGTTTTACACAAAAAATATATTTAGTAACGTACCTAGCTAAATTAAATCATATATTGAATTTACACATGTAGGACGACAATCGGCAGGTATGGGTAAAACCAGTTGAGCCCATTGTGAACGGCGAGTGGTCCTATGCCGTGGCCTATTTGAACAAGGAACTTTTGGGTGATGCTATACTTGTATGTACACGTTCAACTCAATTTTGCCAATGAATGCTACCTAGGTGAAATATTTGGTGCTTATATTTATTATCTATGTAACTATAATAGATGTCACACAAAGTGACTGAACTGATCCCTACGGCTAAGCCTGGAGTGCAATATGAAGTGCACGACCTGTTCCTCGATGAGGGCAAAGAAGTGTTGGGAACCGTTACCAGAGATGATAGTCTGGAGCTAATGATCAATACGGCCGGCGCTGTCCGTATGGTTAAACTCTTGGTTAAGAAATAATGCTTGTTTTAATTTTAATTAAAACTTTTTAATATTAATTATGTAAATTATTATTAATAATAATTATTTAATTATTAAAGTAATTGTAAACAATGTTCCTTGTTCAATTAATAATATTTAAAAGTTATAAATACATCACTTTTAGTTATAACTTTTAAATACAGTAAAACTTTTAAAGTGTATATCGTTTGCCGCCAAACAGTTTGAATGGATTGAATGGATGTTTGCATTCATTCATACATTAATAACGTTTGGGTTTTGGAGTTATTTTTGGTGACAGTTATAGAGAGTAAGCATTGATAGGGTTTCACAG